GGACACAAATTCATCTCTTCACAGAAATATATTGGATCTAAGTCGGCCCTGCAAAATTAATGGGTATTAGTTGATAAAAGGAAAAAGGAACGAACAAAAATATGCAGATATCTATCTGTGTATCTCGTAATTGATATTTTGACGCTTTCTGGCAATATTTTCAGGCAACTAAACTTTCTTAATTTCCATATAAAAATCCCTAAAGTCGATTAGTTACTTATCCTTCCGGAGTACATAAGTTCGTCGCGTTTTCTTATTAGGATTCATTGGGTCTCAGTTGATTAATCGGTCTACAGTAATCATCGTGTCCGTCCGTCCGTCCGTCCGTCCGTCACAAATCTTTTTAGCTCTGTAACTTTAAACCTCCTTGTATTTCATTGATGCACATGCCATAATTACTGACCAATACTAGAAAGTGTGTTGCGTACAAGGAAGAAAATCGTACATTAAAATTCACGGTCAAAAGTTGTTTAACTTATTATTCTATCTATTTTCGCTCTTTATAACATCTAAAAACCGTTTGGAATTCGGCATTGAAATTTGTCATGATAATTCACCACTACTAGAATGTGTGTCGTGCACAAGGAATAAAACATGATGATCAAAATGTTAGTTCAACTAAGCTTTCCCTGTGCGAATGTATAAAATTCTTTTTCGCTCTCTTTCTTCAAGTTAAAACCCCATTGGAATTCGATAATGGAGCTTGACATGACTATATATTCAACTACTAGAATTTGTGTCGCATACAAGGGAGAAAACTGCCAATTGAAAGTCGTGGTTAAAAGCTCAGTTCAACTTAGTCACCACTGTTTAAGTTCAAAAATCGTTTCCGCTCGTTTCAGCTCGCTAACTTTAAAACCCCTCTCATCACTACCCTTCTGTTTTGGTCACTCTTTAAGCTTTCTGTGTTCCGTTGTATTTTTGTCCTTTTGTCTTTATTCGACTTATGATTTTTGATTGACCTCTAAGTATCTATTTAATATGATTTATGATAATAAACATTTCATTGTATTATCATTTTATTGTATTCTTTTTTAAAACTCACTTTTCGATAAGTTTGATGAATTCTTCAATGCCAGCAATGTCACATATGAGATCACATACTTCACCGAGAGCCTGGCTTCCTGTTTTCTGTGCCAGAGCACTACATAATGCTCCACAAGTGCCGACAACTCCGCCCTCTGTAAGCATACATATTGTATATATTGACCAATCTCAAGACATACAGGGTTACCGGTACCCTAATTATCATTTCTATAGAAATAAGGAGATGAGGTATGATTGCCAATGAGACAACTATCCACCAAAGTTCAAATAAAGTGGATGTAAGCAATTATAGGCAACCATACGGCCTTCAACAATGAGAAAAACCCATACCGTATAGTCGGCTATAAAAGGCCCCACATTAAAAATATGAAACAATTCAATTGAGAAAACTAACGGCCTAATTTATAACAAAACAATTAACGAAAAACAAATATGACAGACATGAACCAACGACAACCACTGAACTACATGCTCCTGACTTGGGACAGACACACAAAGAAAGTGGCGGGGTTAAACATGTTTGTGAGCGCTCAACCCTCCCCTAATCTGGGACAGTGGTGTATAACAGCACAACATAAGAACAAACAATAAAAATCAATTGAAAAGGCTTAACTCAGATCGATACAACCAGAAAATCAAAGAATACGTAAAACTGAAACCGGTTTGAATATATCGAAGCGGATTCGTTTTCGTCCGAATGTAGCGTTTTCTGGGTATCAGTATTGCCAAATCTGCAGCTTTAAGCACTTTTGTTGTTTGTAGTTTCCTCTGTTGGGTTGCTGTATCATCACACCAGTTATCCCGAACCGTCATCCCACATCGCCTGCGATTTATTCATACTTTTTTTTAGTGGAAATGGTCTTGGTTAGTTAACTTTTTATTCGAAAAACACAGACAAATTTAATATACTAGATGGAATATAATTTTAAACTATACTTACGCAGAATCAGATTGAGAAGTGTGTTAATAGCCTGTCCGGTAAATGATACACAAGTTGGGCACAGATCAGCACCAACTTTGTTGTATGGATCTCTGTATTCTATTTTCTGAAGGAAGCTGTGTGCAACTTTCTGATTTGGTCTATCCCTCAACAGCGACATTGCTGTTGACTGGCAAACCAACATCAGTGCTATTCCTACACAGAATGCCTGAAAAAAAAGAAGATATATTTTAAATTTAGTTGCAAAAGATATATTCTGTCGATATTGTATTGTTTTAATCTGCATGTACTCCGTTAAGTCGAGACGTACATATTCTTTTCGAGAAATGCACACGTACTACCAGATGATTTTAATTATTTGTTTCGTTGGGTTGCTTTTATTGAATATATCCCACATCTTCTTTTGTTCATACCATTTTGTTTTGGCCGACGTGAGAACTCCGGCTGCCCAAAAATGGTGTAAATTGATGAAAGGGTGATGAAATCCAGAAACTTATAAATAACAGTATATATATACGTTAGTGTTAATTACGGAAATCACTTTCAAATGGTCTTGCGTTGTAGATGGTTATACTGGAATGTTAGTCCCCGAGTGTATTATATGCTCAGAACGTAGTCAGGACTTCGGAGCTGACATGATTTTATTTCATAACATACTTTTCCATATTTCTCGGTTAATAAATCGAGTTTTTTTTTTAGAAACTAAGGTTCCAAATCCCTCAGGCAAAGTTGACCTTAGATAAAATTTACTATTCTTTTTATGTCCCTTTTGGTCATAATGCTCCTAGCCTTTCTACGCATGCATGCATCCCTGGTTTCCAAATTTTGAGGTCTAAGCATTCCAGGTGAAGGTAAATCCAGAAAAGCACTTCGAGCATACGGAAAGTGTTATTTTTTTCATAAATCTGTTAAGATGATTTTCACAATTTAAAAACAGGAAAGAGTGTTTGCATTGCTGCATAAATCTTACCTTCATTTTCTTATAACTAGATACTCAAAAGTGGTAAGACTTGTGCAAGGGAGTCCTTTTTATAGTAGAGCGATAACAGTTATAATCTTTTGTTTATTTATAAATACCAAAGTTTCTAGATCTTGAATTCAAGGGCAAACATACTTAATGATAAAATGATAGGAACGAAATTCGGACATCTATAACACATACGATAAAAGACAAGTTTACTAATAATATAGGTCAGAAATATTTTAAAAGATATTCGCACATTAAGAAATTTGTCTGTAAACGAGGCCAGAATTGCTCTGTTTAGTACTTATTCCACGTGTACTCTAAAATTATATACTTAAATTGGACTTAACAGCAATGCCTACAAAAGGGAAGAGATTGCAAACTTACAAATGAAAGCTCTATAGTGGTTTTCATGATTGACTGCTCCCCACGATCGTTGCATTTCTTATACTTATATGCATGGTTCAAGACCGATGCACATACATACGATGTGTTCAGTCAATGTTCGTTTACGTGTCATTTTGATAGGACGATGACCCTTCGTTTGAGTGCAAATAGACCTATGTTCATCTGAAGCCCTCGGTATGGGATGTCTCAAACTAAGCAGTGCACTACGACTTAGCATACAATCAGAAAACATTAACTTAGCATTTGGATGAATATGACTGGTGGAAATTTTTACACTTGCAAATGAAGAGCATAACATATCACATAAATGAAGACCGAGAGATTTAGGATTCTATGTTTAAGGGAAGACACATCGGTCATCGAAATGCAAATTGCTTGCAATTTCCCTCCTCGGTTTTTATAGCTCACAAAATCCAAAAGATTGACTACACCCAATGTAAAAGGTAACAATAGAAATATCACACAATTCACATATGACAAAACCCTTTTGTTTTATTTTCTCATTTTAAGCATATTTCCATAAATATGGTTTGAAGAGTAAGTAAAATGAATCGATTAAATTTTTTTTTACGAACAATTTATTTACAAAAAATATTGCTTTTTTCAACGAAATCACAGAAAAAGTGGTCGTGTTGGGACTTCTGATATTTTTTTTTGCTTTGCGTAGTTCAATTATGATGCATTAGAATATATTTATTCAATGATTTCATGATAGGGTATTAAATGTATTATTTTATCTTTTTTTCCCGAGATGGGTAATTATTAAATCCCTGTGGCCCTTATTTAAGTCGTTGGTTTCGTGCAACGTATGATATTCTGTGTTTAAGGCCGAGCTCCTGAGATATTTCAGGACCCCCATAATTCCAATATTTTGGGATATCCTGAATTCGAGTTATGGAGATCCTGAAATATTTCAGGAGCTCCTTAAATACAATGATTTTGACTAAAGTTGTGCCTTCTACGAGATTAACCATTCATATCTATTTATTTTATTGTACTTAGCTAGGGTTGCCGGCACAAAGGGTTGTTATTCGCCTTGTTTATTGCAAATAGGAAAACGCAACTGACCATGGGGCGATGTCTTTGGACGTTTCTGTATTCTTTGATTTTAAAGTTAGGCCATTTTGAGTCTCTTCTTTGCTGGTATTACTAATTACTTTATTGAGTTCATTATAATTTCTGTTAGCACCCCTTTTATTTTTCGCTATTATTTATTGTTTGATCCATTGAGTCTCTATTCTGTAAAGGAAACAACAATCAATGTGCATCATTCATTCTATTCTGTAAACCAGGGACTATTATAATTCAATATATTATATCCCAGTGTTAACCAAGAAACGAACATGTATTTCTCTGGTAAACTTCATCCAGAAGTTCTAGATCTCTTACGTCGTATCTTAAATGACTTTTCAAGACCGCACATAACCTCTCTTTTACAACCCTTTTCCTGGTTTCTCGTTTTTCCGAAATTAATGTCAGCGACAATACAATAGGCTGGTAATTTCATATCCTTAAAGATCCTTAAAAATAATGCATCATACAGCCCAAAATGATCCAAAATTAAAATATAAATTCCCGCGTTAATCAACTTTCATCACGTGACTATCTCCAAGGTTCCCTCATTTGCATAAAACTGTTTAGACATGGCTGCCGCCATCTAACTCGAACACCTGTTGTGTTTCTGTACACGCGATCATGCTACTATCCGATTAATAATATATAGCGTTGATTTCCCATGATGGCAGCTACAAGAGATGATTATAAGCTTGATTTAGATAACCGTAAACAAAATGTTTTCGTGACTCAGTTGCACGAAAGGTAAATAATTCATGAAAATTAACCCTAAACCTCAGACAGATAGCGATAATTATACAACACTATTTTTACTTTACAAGACAGATTGGTGGTTAAGCAAATTAGAAAGCAATGAACCACTGATTAGTGAAATTCTCATGAGGGGCCACTATTTTCAAACATTTTTTATATGAAAATAGTTCTGAATTGATTCGAAGCATGCCCAATTTGCAGTTGAAGTTGCCTTTTTGTGACTTGTTCTTTAGAATGAAATATATCTTGCCCATTCCATTGATAGAATGTAAAGTAATATAAATTGTGAGCTTATTCTCAATATGCACAGCCATAAGTCGTCCTGAATATGCATGAAATAATTGTGATTGGACATCAAGTCAACAACAAGTGTTGGAAGCTCTTTTATATTGAAATTTTACTGGGTTTCACTGAACGTCTTATTTTGACACTATGAATGAAACAAATACAGGCATGTATGATGCATCAAGTTAAAGACATTTAACAATCTGCAATTGTATGAAGCCTATAGCTGTTGTCTGTCAGTGGGTGAGCCATGTGACTGGCTTTGTGCATAGGACAAACCGTCTATCACCAGTTGTGACACCTAAACTGATTTTCAGAGGAGTCACAAAACAGTTGTTGCTAGTATCTAGCATTTGGAGCATGACACATTTTTTTTGTGGGGTTCATGTTGCTCAATCTTAAGTTTTCTGTGCAGTGTTTTGTGGACTGTTTGTCTTTTTTTCTTTTTGACAGGTTTTCTTTGTCTTCATGAGTACTCTTTATATGTGTTATTTGATTGTAATAATTTTGGGGGAGAAGTTAGGGTTCTGAAATTTTGATTCAGATTTATACAAAAGCTTGACAAAATTGTAATGAATTTCATTTCATTGAAAAGAATCCATCATATACCATTTTGACAAAACAAATTTAAAAATTCTGCTGCCGTTGTTTTATTTTAGGATAAATATGATAAAAAAGAGCTTATATATGCAAAAAAGCTTAAGTAAGTATCAAGAAAATAAAAATCCCTTTAAAAATTAAATGGTTGATTCCAAAACACATATATACCTTTAATTTGAACATAAAAAAGATAATGTGGTTATATTGATAATAATGAATGATTTCTTACGAACATTTCTGAGACAAAACTTACAATTTTTCACAGAGAATTTGAAGATGAGGTCACTGCTTTCCCAGTTGTCAGTGAGTCAGGAGACCGACTTCTTGAAACGGGGGTCAGAACTCTGCAGAAAACTTTATTATTAAAGAAAGAGGTAGAGGTGGCGAAAGTTGATGCAGACTTAGAAGAAGCCAGGAGACTCTTCAGACAACGTATGGAAGAATGTGCACAAAGGAGAATACGCATACAGAAAAGAAGACAGGAGGTATGGTTGTTGTAAAAGATTTCTTTACAAGACTGTTGTGAAATTAAAGATGACAGTTTACATTTTAAACACCAAAACCTAAATATAATTGCAACTGATCATTAAGCATACAACAGCTACAATGAAAAAAATCGTACAGTCAGGTATCTTTTTGGTTAAGCCAGTTGCTCAAATCTCAATGGTAAGGAGATGTCATAATGAAGTCTTAAGACAATGTAAGATAGCTCTTTTTCCCAAAGCAACAAATATGCTGACTCAAACAAAATTTTGGCAGATTTCATTTTCACGAATGAAATTGCTTTTAGATGATTGATAACATATATATAGTTGTAACTTTTGAAATTAATGGACCATTAAATTTAGCTTTATCATACATTTCTTTTATCCCTACATTTCTTTTATCCCTACATTTCTTGTATCTGCTCCTTTCCTATTCTATTAAAGATATTAAAAAAAAAATTCATAAGGATTCCACGGAACCCAGTGTCTGGCCTACTTTGGCTGTTAATTGCAGGCTCAACAAAAATGAGATGAGGAAAAAATTTAATAAAAACATTCCTCTCGATACAATTTTTGTCGAGCCTTCGACTTTAGTCGAAAAAGCGAGACATAGCGATCCTACATTCCGTCGGCGTCGTCATCGGCGGCGTCCACAAATATTCACTCTGTGGTTAAAGTTTTTGAAATTTTAATAACTTTCTTAAACTATCCTGGATTTCTACCAAACTTGGACAGAAGCTTGTTTATGATCATAAGATAGTATCCAGAAGTAAATTTTGTAAAAATGAAATTCCATTTTTTCCGTATTTTACTTATAAATGGACTTAGTTTTTCTGCCGGTAAATATTACATTCACTCTGTGGTTAAAGTTTTTAAAATTTTAATAACTTTCTTTAACTATCCTGGGTTTGTACCAAACTTGGACAGAAGCTTGTTTATGATCATAAGATAGTATCTAGAAGTAAATTTTGAAAAAAAAAATCAATCCATTTTTTCCTTATTTTACTTTTAAATGGGCTTAGATTTTCTGCCAGGAAACAACTCATTCACTTTGTGGTTAAAGTTTTTAAAATTTTAATAACTTTCTTATACTATTTTGGATTTGTACCAAACTTGGACAGAAGCTTGTTTATGATCAAAAGCTAGTATCTAGAAGGAAATTTTGTAAAAAAATAAATCCATTTTTTCCGTATTTTACTTTTAAATGGACTTAGATTTTCTGCCAGGAAACAACATATTCACTCTGTGGTTAAAGTTTTTAAAATTTTAATAACTTTCTTATACTATTTTGGATTTGTACCAAACTTGGACAGAAGCTTGTTTATGATCAAATGCTAGTATCTAGAAGGAAATTTTGTTTTCTTCCAGTTAACATTACATTCAGTCTGCAGTTAAAGTTTTTAAACATTTATTAGATTCATAAACTATCCTGGAATTTTACCAAACTTGGACAGAAGCTTCTTACAATCAAAAGATAGTATCAAGAGGAATATTTTTATTGATTTACTTCCTCATTTTTGTTGAGCCTGTGATTAACAGAAAAAGTAGGCGAGACACTGGGTTCCGCCGAACCCTTACAAATTTTTTTATTGTAAGAAGCTTCTGTCCAAGTTTGGTAAAAAACCAGGATAGTTTATGAATCTAATAAATGTTTTAAAAAATTTAACTGCAGACTGTATGTAATGTTAACTGGAAGAAAAACTAAGTCCATTTATAAGTAAAATATGGATAAACAAGTACAAAATTTTAATAAAAATTTCCTTCTAGATACTAGCTTTTGATCATAAACAAACTTCTGTCCAAGTTTGGTAGAAATCCAGGATAGTTTGAGAAAGTTATTAAAATTTTTAAAACTTTAACCACAGAGTGAATGTAATGTTTCAAAGGCTCGACAATCAATTGGTTGATTTAATTTAGACTATTTATTACTGTCCAGGTCTCACTTGAGCATTAACACATATATTTTTCATTACAGATTAAACATCAGATTGCTGACTGTGATAAATATATCAAAGAGTATGATGCTAAAAGGAAGAGGGCCATTCAGAAATATCAAACAGAAGTCATTTCAAAAGAACAGAAAACACAAGAACTTGAACAATTTAAAATTGAACTGGAGGAGTACAAACAAAGGTTTAATGTCATTTATTGTACATTTCTCTCTAATTTTTCTATGATGCATTCAAGTATATATACAAATTATTTCTAATTTTTATAGTAACGCAAAAAATTATAAAAGTAGGATTTAATTTAAAAAATGTATTTAGATGATAATTTTTTTACAAACTTGATTTCTGTAGCTCAAAGATAATATGAATTGCTGTATTATACCATTTTATTGATAAACATTATTTACTGAAAGGACAACGTGTATTCACAAGGGAGATAATTCAGTTTAAACACAATATCAATAATTTTTAACAAGAATGCACTAGTTTGTTCTCGTACTAAATACATGGAATATGTAAAAAAATATAGAACATTAATAAAAAGCAGTAATTGACTATAAAATTTTATTGGTGTATCCGAACATTTAAAAGCAGTAATCGTCTATCAATTTATATTGGTGTATTTATATGTATAAAGAAGTGTTCCTAATCTTTTAAATTTTAAAAATCACCTCAGTGGTCTTATGGTTAGGTAGCATACTAGCCTCAAGTGCAGGAGGTTGTAGGTTTGATTCAAAGATTTGAAAATTAATATTTGCTGCTTCTGTACTAAGTCCTTTATGTTTAGGAGTAAGAGCAAAAACTTGTTAGCCAAGAGTCAAAATAATGTGTCGGGTAGGGTGACATCTCTTCCTGCAGAATATTACCTTGTAAACTAGCAAGTTAAGAATCAAGCTCAGCATGTCTGTCTAGTAAAATGCAGGGCACATTTTTGTTTAGGGGCCAGCTTAGGCCTCTGGGTGTGGCATTTTCTCGCTGTGTTAAAGACCCATTGGTGGCCTTCGGCTGTTTTCTGCTCTATGGTCAGGTTGTTGTCTCTTTGACACATTCCCCATTTCCATTCTCAATTTTATTCATATTCATTTCACATGTTTTCATCATCATCAATATTTTAAAGGGCTATGTTTTCCCTCTTGTAGTGCAAATTTTTCCTATTTGAAAATTAATTTTATGAATTATATATTTTAGACAAAGGTACCTCAGTGAAAAAGTAGAGAGATTTAAAAAGTATTCAGATTATATGATCAGTGTTACAGAGGCTATGCCTGATGGTAAGCATTAACTTAGACACAAAATATTATTAGAATTTTATAATTTTGAAAGATATTTTCATTCTCAACATTAAATTGAAAATCATCTGGGTTTTTTTTTAAGAAAGAAAAAAGCTCACATAAATGAGTTCTGAAATTCATAATGCATAAAATGATGGCAAAACTCACTCATATAAAACACCTTTTTTTAAATAAGATTTTAAACATATATATATTGTAATAAAATCAAGTGAAGAAAATACAATTTATTTATAATATATATATATATATATATATCATATGATTTCTCAGGGATCATATGAATTTGATAAGCCCTTGTTTGCAGTTCCAATATGCATATTTACATCTGAATGCTGATTTATTTTTGTACTGTTAACCTGACATATCTTATTCAATTTTGATTTTTATTGTTCGGACAATCATGCATGCAACTCTCTTGGTTATAATTCACAGCAAAGCTCAATGTAATTTATGAAAAGAAAGCTTGTGTATTGAAATTTTTATAGGGAATTGCAGTTTACCATATCATAGCCTAAAATATTCACAAAAACATACAGTAGACAATAAGAGATTTCAAACAAAACTAAGCTCTCCATAAGCTTGTGTTTTCCTCATAATTTGCAACAGATTTTGACTTCAGCTTTTGAAATTAACTTATATTTTGATATAATTGATATGTTTATATGAAGATAAGTTTGTTAGAACATTATGAGTTCACAGTAAACTCATTAAATATTAAATGATAAGTGATCATACAGAATTGATATTTTGATTATAGCACAATCCAGGTCACATTTCAGAGGTATTTATTTACACCTTGGTATGGTTTTTTTTGTAAGAATAATATAAATTTTAGCAGATGCATTTACTTAGATTATAATTTTTATTATGCAGTTATGTATTAATGAAATAAAGCTATGCTTTTAATTCTTCCTTCCTGTAGCTTATTCATCTGGTATTTAGTAGGAACAAACCATTTACAAAATCCTTTTAGATGTTAATTGGTCTAATTACAAAACTAATAAACAGAGGACTTTTACAGTAGATTTGATATTTAATTTGTGTATATAGGTTTTAGTGTATTTTTTTTTCTATCTACCGTTAAGGGAAGATCAGTCCCTAAGATATATAAGTCTGAAAAAAAAAAAAAAAAGTGACCCCATGTCTAGGGTGGGTGGGTGGCATTTTTTTTTTTGGTTTTTGCATCCATCCTGTATCAGACTAAAGTTTTTGGTCAAGGTATTTTACCATGAAGTTGTGGTCACATCTATTTGAAACTTAGTACATATGTTCATTTTGATTCGAACTTTTTAGAATATATGCCAATTTAATATTTTGTCTTCTAATCTCTTTCCCTATTGCATCTTCAATTTTTCATATTTTAGTCTTTATCTCTATTTATGTACAAATATTTGCACCTGCATGTGGTGATACAATTAAAGGTATATTATACTGCAACCATGCTATTAGCTTAGTGAAACTGTATGCACTATATAAAAATTGTAAAAGACAGTACCTGACTGTATATACCAGTAAAGTAATAGTGGTCTTTTAAGAGTCTTGGACTGTGGTCAGGATCTCTTTAAATGTTTTAACATAATAAGCAATTGAACTTAATCATCATTTTATATTATACAGTCATTTTCAGATTATTATAGCAGTTGAGGATAACGCTCACTTTATGTTATTGTGTCATTTGTAGATTATATAGCCGCTGAAGATAAGGTGAAAGGATTAATGATGAGGCATAAAACCTTAAGTGAATCTAATAAAGATCTTATTGATAACCTAGTCAATATGGGTGATGAGGTTTGTATAGATCAATAACTGGCCCCTTCATTGTGGGTTGTAATCCTATGATGGATTGAAGTTTAATGTCCAGTGGCAAATATTATATATCAAGAATCAATATGTTAATGCATTATATTGAAGAACACTGCTTTGTACTAAACCTACACACTGAGCCTGATTTTTAATGTGCTACTTCACAAATTGTAACAGTCCTTAAGAAGACATGTCACCCTCCTTGGACACACTATTCTGACTTTGAACTGACTGGTCCTTGCTCTTTCCTAAATGCTGCATGCTTAGCAGTAAGGAAGCAAATACCATTTTTCAAGTCGTTAATTTGACCCGGGCAAGAGGAGGTTAGTTTGATTAAATATCAGGCCTATAAAATACAAATAATGAGGGAAGCAGGGATGAATAACAAACTAAGTCAATATGGTGAAGGGGGAAAGTATTGGTAAATAACAGACTGAGTTTAAATGGGTGACAGGGATATACAGTTTCTCTTGTTAACCTTTTATTCTGCAAGCAGTTTAAATCATTTTTAATGTTCTGGCCCAGTGCTGTATAAGAGGGTCCACTAATGGAAGAAAGTATTGATAAATAGCAGACCTAGTCAGCATGGGTGATGGTGTTTTCCACTTAAAGAATAAAACTTATACTTGTTGTATCAGACTACATATTGAACAATATATGTAGGTTTCATTTGTTGAAACAAAATTATTTGATAGAGAGAAAAAATTATGTCCTCTAAGTCTTATTTCAATTAAGATTTTAATGATTTTAAAGAATTTTATTTTCAAAAGTTTAAATGATATTCAACTTCAGGAAAAAAATTATTGGACATCTGTAATATAGATTTTCATTATAGATTGAAATACGAATAAGTTAAATTTTATAATAATCTTGTTTTAGTTGGACACATTACGACAAGAGTTTGAGAAAGAAAAATCAGAACATGATAAAGTGAAGATGTCCAACAACAGAATCCTATCACAACTACAGCAACAGCATGATAAAACACAGAATCAAAATAAACATGATGAACAAGAGATCATGTTAAATAAAGGAGATCTAAGAGAAAAGGTTTGCTTTCCACATTTCAAAAGTCCAGTTCTTTGTCATAAATGTTTTTAAATTGATTCAACATATGACTGGTTTTTGTAATGAAAAAAAGATGATACATTAAAAGGCCAGATATATATATATAATGAGTTTCAGCATGCATCAAAATAGATATTGATTTGTTCAAATATTACTGGATTCATTTATTGTGATAAAAATATTTTCATGGGAGCCAATTTTCGTGGATTAAGGAAAAAATATATATTTGCAGATAATTGATTTAGTGGTTTTGCCAAAGTTTGCCTAAAAGCCTATAGAAAATTTGTACTTCGTTGAACACTTAAATTTGTGATTCACCTACAGGAATGAAATTCGAGAGAACTGGCACCCCAGGAATATAAATAAATCCACAGTAGTAAGAAAGGAAAATATGTAGAATAAACAAAGTGTAGATATTTTTTACTGTTTTACATAATTGTTTTTGTCCTGAATTTCTATATCAAAAATTATGAATAAAAGAAAGCTTCTAAGGTATATTTTTTTTTTGAATGAAACTTTTCATAAGTTGCATAGTTGGTGCTTTTCGGATTTTGACAGATAAGTTCACTAGAAAATTATTTTATGCATTTGTAAAGTTAAAATAGCGTATGCTTGTAATATGTGAACATCAAAACTTCAAAATTTAATAACATTTGTTTTATATAATTTAAAAATAAATCTCTATAAAATGGTTACAATTGTTTTGTTTTCTTCACATTTTTGTGTCTATTTTACAGCATGCAGATCTTGGTTTGATCGTCATGGCAATCAATAATATGGCTGAAGGTTGTAGAAAATACTATGACCCACCAGTAGAACAAATGAAGTTTCAAGATAAATTAATGAGAATAAAGGTAGGAACATTTAATGCTTAACCAAATATACTGAGTAAAAAAGTTGAGCTACACATATTTTTAATTTTATGTTTTATATCTCAAAAATAAATGAAACTGAGTACCAGTTACTGTCAGAAAATTCAGTTTTTCTCAAATAATATTTAAAAAGGAACTCTTTCGGGAAGTATTCATTTTAACATAAAAAGGGTTACCTAAAGTTAGCATCATTAACTCAGACTTAAATTACACTTTTTAACAACAAAAAAATTAGTTACTAACACGTCGATTTTTGCAGGAAATTTTATTGGTTCAATGACCTGTTATTCACTTTTGAATCTTGCCATTTAATGCTAGAATTTATGTTTAGTCAGGACATTAATGTTATATTTTGCTTGTAATTAGCAAGAAGAAAAGAAGGTTTCAAGGGTTGCAAATTGAACAAAACACATCACCATTCTGAATATTAATTAATCCGAATGCCTCCTTCAGCTCTGAATGTGAATTTTTTGTCACTTGAAATCAACCACTTACACTGTATTGAAGAGATGTATGGACTTTAATTTTGAAAATTTTAAATCTTTTTAAATTCTTTTGAAAGAAATTGTTTATTCTAAAGTAAGGTTAGATGGCGCTTTATCTTAAAACAGTAAGTTTTCAAAAATCGAGGAGTTATATAGCGATGACATCATGTCCCCACACATTTATCTTCCCACAATGTGTATAGGTAACAGACTACGGCATTTTCCTATCTTAATCGGGTCAAAATCTGCAAGGTTTTCACAAATGAACTTTAAATATTTGTCTGAAGATGTCAACAATTAAAGCAATGCTTCTGTTATTAAATAAAATGACAGATGACAGTAACTGACAGTAACTAGTCCTCGACCAGCATTTCTATTCATAACAATGAAATAGCTAATAGTAAAAAATAAAATAAAACATAAGATGCAATTTACATTCAACAAAAACTTGATTTTGAAGATTAAAACTATGAAAATTTGTTTTAAAAGTTTCTTAATCTAAATATATGTAGCTTAACTCTTTTACTCCATATGTTTAGTACTTTATTACAAAAAATTGACACAAACATCTGTGACGTCATTTGCCAATAAGGTTTTGGCAAAAAGTATGTACCTTTTGCAAAAGAATACTTATAGCAATATTTTCGACTCTATAAATAACTTCCTTAATCCCATATTTCACAAACCATGCCAAAAGTTTAATTTTTTTTCCCATTGCTCAACATTAGCAGTAAGGTATTATAATTTGTTTTCTATCTGATGGATAGTTGTCTCATTTATAATGATACCACATCTTCTCATTTATAATGATACCACATCCTCTCATTTATAATGATACCACATCTTCTCATTTATAATGATACCACATCCTCTCATTTATAATGATACCACATCTTCTCATTTATAATGATACCACATCTTCTCATTTATAATGATACCACATCTTCTCATTTATAATGATACCACATCTTCTCATTTATAATGATACCACATCCTCTCATTTATAATGATACCACATCCTCTCATTTATAATGATACCACATCCTCTCATTTATAATGATACCACATCTTCTCATTTATAATGATACCACATCTTCTCATTTATAATGATACCACATCTTCTCATTTATAATGATACCACATCTTCTCATTTATAATGATACCACATCTTCTCATTTATAATGATACCACATCTTCTCATTTATAATGATACCACATCTTCTCATTTATAATGATACCACATCTTCTCATTTATAATGATACCACATCTTCTCATTTATAATGATACCACATCTTCTCATTTATAATGATACCACATCTTCTCATTTTTATATTCGTATTACAGGAACATTTAAAAGACAGAATAGATGTATCAAAGATGGCAGGTGGTGGAAGTACTTTACAAGGCAGTGCCGATGTACATAAATCTAGACATAAAAAGAAAACGTAGCGCAAGTGTGTACAAGTGTGTGAAAATGTGAGTGAATGAACAAATGTTTTGTGCTGTAAAAAATCGCAAGAATAAACTGTAATAATTAATTCCCATACACTTTATATGCATGTATATTTTTGATAAAACACACAAATTAAACAAATAGAATAAATTGCTATTAATGCTGGATTATTATTGTTTTTTTCTGGATTTTTTTTTAAATGTTATAAATTTCAGCTTGATATTTTTTATAAAAGTTTGAATTTGTCCATGACATTTTGTATTTTAAACATATTTTAATAGAAATGTACAATTTTATATTATATTAGTTGCAGTCATATCAGCACAAGGTGCTAATCAAACATTAATAAGAAGAATGACCTTATTGACAAGTTTTTAGTCGGTTTACACTTGTTTTGAATAGTTTTTTTTTATATGTGTTTTCACTTTGTTTAGACAAATTTTATCACAGATTTTGTTATCAGTGTTGTAATTTGTTTTGATGCTAACCCTTAGAACCAAAGATTTCAAATGTGCTAGATATAATCAGATAATATTTTTATACAAATAACAACTTAACTCTTTGTTGTTTGAATGCTATGCATACCCTAGTAAGTTATGATAGGTTTTTTTACTGATAATTATTCAGTTTTCTTATTATTCTTATTATCTACATTCTACACGCTGTTAATTTTTTTTGTGGATTTTATAATTGCAAAGAATTTAAATTTAAAAATGTCAATTTGTGATTCCTGATTTGAATTACAGTTTAACATTTCATATTTTCAAAAAAAAAAACAACAGATATTTAGAATATTTTTATACTAAGTCTTAATTTCTAAACTTTTAATATAAATTTTGCAAATGATTTTTCTGACAATGCCCAAATGTTCTTTATTCTGTTTTGATTAGTTTTCTTGTATATGAGAGGTATACATGTCAAATTTTAATTGATATTGTTTACCGTAGTTATTATTGAAAATGAAAAACATGTATGTTGTTATAGAAGTGGCATTAACTAGTTCTACAAAGTTATATTTAGAAGATAGAAGAGCAAAACAATCCATTTCTTTTTCTATAAATGTCTTTCTGTTTAAATTTCATGTCTCCTGTATGGTCTATTCATACTTTTTAAAGTTTGTTGGGTGTTAACCTAATTTTCACGATTCAGTGATTCACAAAAAATTGTTGACCTATATTCTTGTTTACTTGAGTTCTAATACCTGCTGTCTCTTTTTTAGTTTTGATATTGACCTAACACTTTATATATCATTGTTCAGCCATTATAATCTACACAAGCAAGACATTTCTTCGGTCTACTCATTAGAGTAATACATGTTAAATCTAATTTATTGGAAAAATAACAATTATTATGTAAACCAGACAGCATTTATGATATGTTTCTTCTTGTCTTCAAAATATTAGAATCAAACTGTATTATTCTTTTTTATCTTAAGCCAATGAGTTATTTGAGGAAAGGTGTAAAACATGTTTTACAAGATAATAAAATATATTAAAATTTTGGAGTGTCATTGATATCGGCTTAAATGAATTGTCAAAAATGTTGTATAGGCTTCAACAAATTGACATAACCCAAGTTCAAAAAGAGATAATTTATAATTATTTAAATTGTGATATTTATTATATTTTATTTACTAATCTTCTTTTTTAACTGTTGTGCTACATGAACATCTGTAAAACTTCATAATTCAAGGACATCTAGAGTTGTTGTTTATTTAGAAATAAATCAATGCAAAACATAACTTTTATGTTGAACAAGAAATCCACACTGCCAAAAAAAACTTGATATGCTATTATGTCATAAAATTTGCATCAAATTATTTATATGTCTAGATAGAACAGCTGTAAGTTTTTGTAGATTTTGATGCTGTAACAAGACAATGACAATGGTCAGCAAATAGAAGGCTTTCATATTTGTGCACTTTCCTGTAAATTTCCTGTCACAATGTTTACGTTAGTTCATCACAGTAAGAACTGAATGTTCGATGACATCGTTTACGCTAATTGACCTTGAGTCGACATGTATAACTCATTCATAAAAAATTTATACTTGATCTGAGTTTTGTAGGAATAAGTATTGTGTATAAGTTTCATAAAATTTGGTTGAGGCAAACTTAAAGTTAGTGAACGGAAATGAAAAATTCAGCAATTTTTCCATTTGTACAGGGGCATAACTTTAGAATGGTTAAAGTGACACCACCAAAATTCAAACTCGATCTGTATTTTGTGGTATTAAGCATTGTGTATAGGTTTCATAGCATTTGGTTGAGGCAAACTAAAGATAGAGAACAGAAAAAAAAAATTCAGCAATTTTTCCATTTGTAAAGGGGCATAACTCTAGAATGGTTAAAGTGACCCCTTCAAAATTGAAACTTGATCTGTGTTTTGTGGTAATAAGCATTGTGTATAAGTTTCACATTTGGTTGAGGCAAACTAAAGTTAGAGAACGGAAACCAACTTCGGGACATATAGATGGACGGACAGACGTTCGTACAGTCGGACATGGGTAAAACTTCATGCCCCCTCCGCTACGGCGGAGGCATAAAAAAATAAGTTGAGATTGGTGTATGAAAATGGTCCAAAACTTTCTTAATCATATTAAAGTATAACCATAATATGACACTTCCTTACTCATTAATTGAGCCATGAAACTTTCCCTATGTATCAATTCTACTAATAATTTTTTCGGGGGTAGAGAGGGATGATTAGGTACCTATTTCTTTTAAATTCCATTTTTCGCACAGACAGAATGACATATTTACATGCATGTATTATTGAAAGTTTTCAGGGAAAGTTGTATTTTTTAACAAGTTTGTGTATATAAAGTTTTATAAGTATTGTGATTTCATTTTGCATCTTTTCCCCAACAGTTTCAGTTATACTCAAAATATTTGTGAAACAACAACTAATACGCAAGACACTTGCCACATGATTTTTTTACATGTATTTGTAGGAGATTCTGAAAATGACCAGATTGTTACCTGTTTTTAATATTTACATGTCAACCTTATTTCAGTGTTATAATTATGAAACTTCTACAGTGACTGTGGTGTAGTTAGCTTCACATGATTCCATTTATTAATGGATTGTTAATACATTTGGAAATCATTTAGAGGTTGTAAATTCATAATGTCAATGAAAATAAATTAGACAGCAACCCAACAACACAACCATGCTACTGGTTTTAGTAGCGGAAAAAGGAAGACAAACCTGCAATGAGGCATAAATTCTAACAAGAACATCCAAATGAATGAATACACCATTGTGGATCTCAAATAACTGGAACGTCTTAGTAGAAAAATAAAATACATCTGGTAGGGAATGGAAAATTTATTGCTGTAATGATAAATACATTTATCTAATATTTACACAATTTGTACAAATTTTATCAATATATTGTTATACAAATGTCTTAAAAATACACATGAAAGTCTATTTTGAATTTGTTATTTTTAGTCTTTTATCACATCTCAATAACACATAAAAAGGCTTAAAAGTAATCAAGTTTTTCACTCAAAAGGCATCAAAATAAAGCAAGCTACATAATCATTTTACAAAAGATTTATTAACTTACAAATTGTGTTTACCATGGCAAACAAAATTTAGCACTAGGTTGATTGATAATAAACTTCTTTATGGACCCATGGATTTTGATATGAACAGATTATAATATATATTTGTTATCTTGGTGTAGGCTATTCTCTGTGCTTTTTGCAACATACAAATGCTATCAAATGTAAAAAGAGTTTTTATTTTTGCAAAACCAATCCTGTTGCAATATTCGCAATGATAGAAACATCCCAAAAATTTATAAATTATGATTTATCTAATTTGCATGTATAAGCAAACTTTCAACAAACATCAGAATCTTTTCTCCACTGAAACAATGGTAAATTGTAGATGATCATGAGTTTATTGCCTATTTTTACATTTGAAAACTGTGGCATTAATGAAAATAACTTGGGTTACAAAGACGAAATAATTGCCTTTCTCCAAAGCTTAAATACATTTCCATGAAATGACATCAACATATAGCATCCAACAGAAAAAAATTTATTGATTATATACTCCAAATCATTTCGTTGTCATAAATGGAATACATTTTATATGTGGAATTTGAAGGTAAGAGTCAACAACTGACAAATAACTAAATAGTAATTCACCATGTCACTCATACATATTTTATTTATATCATTCATCTTATGTTAGTGGCTAAATTTCCAGTGATTGGCCAATTCTGCATAAAAGAAACGAGTTGAAACCAAAATTGCTCTGAAATAACTTTAGTCAATCAAATGTAAAGTAATCTGAGCAATCTTGATTTGAATAACTTCAAAATTTTTAAATATCTCTAGGTAAAATCCATATTAAACTGACAAGTTGCAAGGAAATTATTAATGTCTACTGTAGATTCATTTACTCTTGTAGATACCAATTTTTGTAGATTGAGGAAAAAATGTATTTTCGTAGATATTTGATTTTGTGGTTTTACCAAAGTCTGCATACAAGCCTATAGAAAATTTGTAATTCGTTAAATATTTAAATTTGTGGTTCAACTTTACTCACAAATACCACGAAAATTAGTATCCACTGAATAATAATGCATTCACAGTATAAATTTACTGAAATAAGTTTTTTTATCAGATAAATATAGTATTTCACACACAATTATGTTTCACATCTAAACCAGTTTGCAACAGTGCAAAAAAAAGGTAAACAAAAAAGCACCAAGCTGAATTATGAGAATGAATGAAAACCATCAAAATAAGGAATTTCATGGACATTTCAATGATTAAATGTTAGTTTGTTCCATTTATAAGTACGAGGTATAAAGGGAAGGCATATTTTATGTAAAGTAGAAAAAATTGTGACCAGAGCTCAACCTCCCTCCCCTTTTTTATATAGATATGGCAAAGTCTATATTTTACTGTGGGAAATTCAAGATGTCATTTGGATGAAAAAATATAAACTGTTAACACAGAGATAAGTCTCGCCTTTTTGTTATTTTGATAGTGACTCTGTCAAGGCCAGACAAAAATTGAAGGTACACAATGCTAATAGATACTAAATAATCTTTGATAATTTAAAAAAAAAAAATCATTGAAATTCTACCACTGTTTTCAGAGGTGTCAAGGATACAGGTGTTGACACACTAACCAACAAACAGATGGACACAACAATCACTCAAATATCCTTTTTTTTTGATCAATTTAGTCTATAATAAAGAAATGTCCATAGAAATAACTTGAAATTTTTGGTTTTACATTTTTTACTGAGAAAAGTTTCATACAACACAATAGCAGCATTTAAAATGTTCATTCCATGGAAATTGCAGAGCTGTATGTGCACCTTCCTCTAATATTAACTTGTTTTCATGAAAAACATAATTTTCCTTCCAATTTGGTTGGGAAAATGATGAAAACTATTTGCCTTGCTATGTTGAAGAATTGATTTGAGTACTTTATCAAATAATCTGTATCCATCCCCATATGTACTGTACTGTATATAGTACATGGAACAGACCTTAAGAACATGGCATAAATATATCTGAAACTGACATGATGAAAGATTTCAGTAAGCATGATTAAAAAATAGGTAAACCAAACTCTAACAGATTTAAGTAACAGTACTCATTAAGTTCTGGAATAGTTCTATTATATTAAATAATGAGACAGATAACAAAAACCATAGAAACAAATAAAACAGTTTCAAGTACAAAATATCATTTAAATTGAGATCAACAGCAGACACAGATTTCATAAACAAATGTTAAGCAAATAAAAAATAAATATATGCTAATCAAATAAAATTAAAAAAAAGGGTTTAAGATTCAGGTTTATTAAATTTAGTTCAAATCTTAAAACTGACATAGAATATTATAGAAGTTGCAAAATACATTTCTGTTTTCAATCAAATGTTTAACAGAATTGCCATATATTAATTTTATTTAATTAAAAGAACAAAGTAAAATGCAAAATCAGTTTGTAAATGCCCTCGACTTAAACTAGTGCTTATATCAAACTTTAGTTTCAATATTTTGAGTTAATGCTCTGGATGTCTGTTGTGCATTTGACTGTTGACCCTGAGCATTTGTAACTACTGACTGTTCACTCTGTATCATATGCATATTTTGTTGAGAGTGCTGTGTTGATTGGTTGATATGTTGAGAAGAATTTTGTAACTGAGGAGCTGATTGGTTGATTAGTTGACTAGGGTTTCCTTGTGACAGAGGAGCTGATTGTGTAATATGCTGTGTTAAGTTTGCCTGTTGCTGAGATGTTGTTGATTGACCATGGTGAGAAAGAATTGGCTGTTGTATGAATTGCACAGGTTGGGCTTGTTGGATGTGGACAGGGGGTTGCTGGTGCCTCATAATTTGCATAGATTGAGGCTGCAGCTGGCCATGAACTGTTTGATCCTGCATTGCAGGAGAAAGGGAAGGTGGCGGCCTATGCATTAGCATATGTGACTGTAACTGTGGCTGGGATACTGGTTGTCTTAGCTGAACTTGTTGCATGGGTTGTCTATATTGAATTGAAGGTGAATAAACAGAGACATTAGCAGTTGTAGGCGAGATCCAAGGTTGTTTATGCTGAGCTTGATACTGTTGTAAAAGCTGCTGATACTGTTGCTCAAGTTGTTGAATTCTATGTTGTTGTTGTGACTGTAGTTGTTTCTCTCGTTGAAGTTCTAGATGTTCTTGTTCTAGATCTCTGTTGACCATGATTCTGGTGGGACTGAACATTCCTGTAGGCTGACTGTATATCAACTGTGGTTGTCCAACACGAGGATGGTCATTAGATATCACAGACGGCTTAGGTTGCTCATTTACATGACTTTGCATGTACAACATTTGTTTAGATTCAGGTTTTTGAGACAGAAACTGATCGTTCCCCATAGGATTTATTGGTAAATTTTGTCCCATTGGATTGTTCATTTTAGAGAAAGGTAACAGTTTATTCCCAATTGTTGTTACAGGGAGCTGTGGATTTTCAACTGATTGTTTTAGCATCTCAATTTCTTTTTCCTGCCTGCGTCTTTCCATTTCTATCACCAAAGCCGATCTAAAATGCTCATATTTTAGGACAATGTCTTCTATATCTTGTCTATTCAATCGTACTAACAAGGCATCAAAATGTTCTAGTTCATTTAAACGGAATAAATCCCACTGAAAATTACAAAAGAATTAAATCAACCTTGAAAATATGTTTTTTTTTCTAAATTTTACTTTAGGTCATCTTTATAAATTATAAGAATAATAATACATAACTTTACTGCAGCTATAATGAAAAATAGACAAGAGACTTCAAACATGACAGCAAACTGGGTTCTCCTCACATTTATTAGTGTCATTCTTTCAGCAATCAAGGGCCATAACTCCTGAATAGCAAAAGTGACAATGATAAAAATCAAACTTGACCACCATTTTGTTATCAGAAACAAAATATCAAGATTTGAAAAAAATTGGTTGAACTGTTCTCAATTTATTTAAGGAAAAAACACTAACTACCATTTTTAGTTCACTCAAGGATGATAACTACTAAATAGCAAATTTTAACAAGCATTCTGAAAGTATTGCATGGCAATACATAGTCCCCTACCTGGTAAAAATTCTTTATCCTGGAACAAAATGCTAAATTGTTCTATAACTTGTCATGGTGTAAACAAAAAGTAAATATCATGTCAATATCTTCAAGCATGACTAAAAACAGTGTGGAAAATTGATTATGTGAGTGAATTTTTCAAGTCCAAGGACCATAACTCTGCACAAAATTATTAGACCGAAACAAAAATTTGAACTTGATCTGTAACTTGTCATGATAAAACTATATACCAATTATCAATCAATATCTTATAAGCATGATGAAAAAAACATTAGATATGATTAATAGTTCTCTAAAATTAGATATGATGTAATACAGTGTATATCTATTTTCAAATTATAATCAAATATAATTAATAGTTCCAAATATTTTTTTCTTTCATTTGTCACAAACTAATATAGATTTGTAACCTATCTATAAAATGTCAACAACTTTTATCTACACAATGTAATGTATTAAAATATATACATAAATAAAAATAGATTATTATCTAATTAAAGGATTTCTCTTCATATTTTTTTATATATATATATAGCATCCAGAAAATTAGTTTATACTAACCTGTCAAAAAATTCTTCAAATAATTTAACAAAGAATGTCTTTTGAAAAATGAGTTATCTCCCTTTGTACAGAAATATGGTTTAACATAGTACTCTAACATTAGATAGGTCCCGAGTTATGGTCCATAACTCTGGACTAAATCATCAGACCGTAACAAAATTCGAACTTGATCTATAACTTGTCATGATAAAACTATATACCAAATATCAAATCAATATCTTCAAGAACGAAGAAAAAAAGTGTGGAAAGCTGATTTGCTGGACTGACGGATGGACAGACGGACAGAGTGCAAACCTAAAGTCCCCTTCGACTTCGTCGGTAGGGGACTTAAAATTGAATATTGTCAAAATCAAATTAATCCCAATTGGTTACGATACAACATACTGTGGATTTATTATTTATTCATTGAATTCCAATTTTCATAGATACAGGGGAAGCATGAATTTAAAAGTTCAATGAATCACAAATTTTCTATAGGAATATATGCAGACTTTGTCAAAACCACAAAATCAAATATCCATGAAAATGCAATTTTTCTCAATCCATGAAAATTGTTACCCACAAAAATAACTGAATTCACATACTCAGATTTGAGCAGGATCAGTTGAATTGTTCTCAGGCAATCACAAGAAAATGAAACAAAATATTATTTTGAATCAATCTATCTATCAAGGACAGCAAAAATCTTAAAACTTAAACTTACACCCCAGTTTGTCATGAAAAACAACATAATAAAATTTGAAAAAAATTTGGTTAAACGTTATTGCACAAAAACAGTTTGGAGGTGGATTTGTCCTCTGAAAAACCTGTTTAGGGGTACAGAACACATAAGGGAGCTAACTCTTCAAAATTCAGCTGAACGTTTAATCACATACTGTTAGTAAAGAGAAATTAAGCTTCTCAATGATCAAAAAAGTTTGTCAAACTGCTATATATCCAATGAAATTATTCCTGTAAATTGTGTGGTTCAAATTTTTTGAAATTTTAATATTTTTGTCAAAGTAATTATTTTGTCAAAATTTTATGAAAATTAAACGAGCCAAATCTATTTTAGTCAAAGTGTTGAGTACCCCTTAAAAATCATAATAAAACAACAAATTTAGAAATTCCTTACTGGGCACAGTACTTTTTTTTGTAAGGAAAGAATATTTTATAAATTAGTTGAAATTGCTATAATTTTAATAAGTTTAGTGTCCAAGAGGTCACAATGAGGATGTTCAATCTGATGCTCTATTTTTTGGGGAGTGCTAAGCTCTCATGATGATAAAAACATTTATCTTTAAGGGGATCTGTAAAATGGCCTGTTGCATGAGCTTTTTTTATGCATATTCAGAAAGAAAACCAATTATACAATTTATCAATAAGGCATTCATAAAAAAATTGCTACTGGACATTACCATAAGCAAATAACAATCAATACATTCAACAAAGGACCTAAGAATATTGTAGCTGTTTAAGAGAATATCAAATAAACTTGATATCCCAAAAGGCTGTTGCAACATAATTTAGTAGGATCTTAATTTCTGGATTCCTTATTTAGGCCATTTTTGTACATTAATCTATTTTCTTTATTTTTTAGTCTATCACTTTTTTTATATTTTTTGGTCCAATATTTTCTATTTTTGCCCATTTTTCTCAATTCTGTAAACCCCATCCAGACCCTCATTTATACAGTGACTTACCTTTAATTTATGATCATGTTCAGGAGCACCTCTAGAGTATACATGTAACCATTGAGGAATTGCTGCAACAAAATGACAATCATAAACCAAATGCTATACGAAAAGAAACCCTGAGAAACATTACTTTCAAAGCTTTAAATTCCAAATTTCTATGCATGAATGTTTTGTTCCAGTTAAATATTTTAAATGACATTAAAAAAACAAAACTCTGAACAATTAACAGTAAGTATAAGAGATGTCAAAATGTATTATATCACAATTTTCTGAGAAATCAAAAAGTCTGTTGTAATGAGAAATTTGAACATGCTTAGAATGAAGTTTTGTGACCTTAATAAAAGTATAACTAGGCCATGAACTGCTGCGAGTTATTTGTTAAAAATTTGTTTGGTCATCAACATTTTTTTCAGATTACACCTTAACTACAAGACTTTAGTGTTAACCATTTTCTGGCAACTGGTCAATTCCAACTTAATTAATGAAGAGTTGTTTTAAAGATATCAGGTGAAGCAACCAATTTGTGCAGGTGGAACTCCTATAAATCTAAGATAAAGTCACTAAAAGCAAGCTGTAAAAAATTACTGCAATCTTTTTTTTTCTAAGGAAAGGTGTGATGTTACAAAAATATATTTACTTTTTCTTTAAAAACTAAAGTTTTTTTTCATAAAGAATCCTTGATTTTAGTGCATGAATGGCTTTTTGTACACTTCAATACTTCAAATTTGCTGTTATTTTTAATCTGACCTGGTGGCATGAATAGTGTCTTGAAATCACATAAGACTTTGGCATCAACTGCATACATGGTTCAGACTCTTTAATTACAGATTAATATTTACCTGAATTAAGATATGGGTTCGCTGGGACTAGAACGTTGGGCTGTCTAGATGGTCTATACTCTAATGCACCTGGTAATTGAGGTTGGAAACTAAGCATATTTGGTATACTTTGTGCACATGGATGAGGATACTGGGCTGTTTTCTTTATATGACTAAAAGGAAACAAACAGTAATAAATTAAAAAGCAAAAATTTCACACAAGTATAAGTTATGAAAAGTATGTCTGTAAATTTTTTTTTTTATTGTAATTCTAACAAGAGGCTGTCGTGAAGGTCTACAACTCAAAAACTATAAAAGCTATGAAAATCGAACTTGACCTTCATTTTGTCACAGGAAACAACATATCTAAAATTTAAAAAGATTTCGTCAAAGCGTTTTTAAGTTGTTGCACAAACAATGCTCCAGGTATCACTTTTCGCTACTTAAGGTCTACAACTAAACAACGATAAAAGCTAAAATCGTGAAAATCGAACTTGACCTTCATTTAGTCACAGGAAACAACATATCTAAATTTCAAAAGATTTTGTGAAAGCCTTTTCAAGTTATTGCACGAATACTGATTGGCAGCCCCCACCAGGCCGCCCACCTGACTGTTGTACATCACCAAATTAAAAATGTACAATTTAAAAAAAAAACTACAAATAAAAATTGTTCATCTTTAATTAATTAGCATGTTGATATTCATATGTAAAGTCATGCATCATTATCCTATAGATACTCTTATTTGCTGGTGCAATAGAATCAAGTTTTAAAATCAACATTTACTTGACATAATACACTCCAAATTCTTTTGATTCTATCCTTTCCCAACCAGTAGGAAGACTCTCTTTCTCTAATGGATGACTCCAGTGTGTGGTGTGAGTGTTGTGGTCAATGTAATATTTGCGACCTCGGACTGTCCAGTCAATTGTCCATCCATGAGGTAATAGCATGTCTTGTCCACAAAATCCACCTGAAGCTATTTAGACATAAATCATTATTATTTATCTGCAAACACAATATTCTCTCCATTATAATAATTCCAACTTAATACATGATACATTGCATTATAATAGATGTCTTTTCTAGTTGTATTGTATTGTTGGGTTGCTGTCTTATTGATGTGAACCCAGATCTCCTTTTTCATATAATTTTGACCTCTTTCTAGTAATATTTAGATATTTCCAAATATAAATGTTATCTCTGGCAAATCATGGTTTATCTTTTAGTTTGACATTGGCATTTGAGCTAGCTTTCAGTAACTGTGATTACCTTGTAGATTGGTATTTTGTGTCTTTTGTTTTTATGCTTGTAATGATCTGATGGGTCAAGCCATTCCTAATTGATTTTAATAGTTTGTTCTTAGGTAGCACTCCACAGTTAGAAAAAAACATTAAAATTGAACGAAATGTTTTATCATCTTCTATTCCTGGCTTTCTAATACATTAACCTAACTGTTTGTGTTATACATGTGCATATGTATGTTATCAGTATCTTCCATAGATTTGATTTTTAAATCTAAAATGGTGAAAAATAATTCCATTTTTGTGTATCCATGGCAACATTCTGCATTTATTTACCATAAAATATTGCAAAAAGGGGGGCAAAAATGTCACATATTCCCCCAAAATTTGGTTCAAACTAGAATTTCAATGCCTTTCAGTGATACCTTTTCAGAAACTGTTGATATAAATCTACCAAATGATCAAATAAAAAATGGGTGTCTTTCGCCTCATTTTTTCATAAAATTTAATTGCAAAGTTCGTGCGACAAAAAGTCGGAAAAAAACATTACAATAATTGCCGGACCAATATTTGGTATGGATATGAAAATACGGACTGTCATACAGAAAACAGCCCATATTACATACATTACATAATCTTGATGTTCCTATAAACCCACTATGAAGGCTATTTTAATCTTCAGCTATCCAAAAATGAATTTTATTCTACACTAGTTATCATATTTGAAAAATCCACAGGGGCCAAAATGCGAAACTACACACCTAACTGTGGAGTGCTACCTTATATTGTGTGTTTACACCACTTTGCTATGTAAGAGGGAGGGTCAATCACTCTCAAACAAGTTTATCCCTGCCATATTTGAATTATTCTACATTTTTTCATCCTTGACCTTTTATAGCTTACTAAATGGTATCAGTTTGTTGAAAGTTGTATGGTTACCTGTATTATAATTTAAAAGGTTAATATCTTTCACCTTTGGTTATTAAATGGATAATAGTCTCATTAGCAATCATACCACGACTCCTTATCTTTTTATTTGTTCAAATATTATTTGCTCATTTAATTCCCCCCCAAAAAAGACAAATGCTTGAACCAACCATTTTTGATTAATTAAGCTCATTTTGTCAAGTATATGCATGGTTATCACTGTGAGTCTGTGATATCATAATTATCAGTAAGTGTCAAATTCAATTGCTGTAAAAATCAAAATGTTTTTGAAAGCAATTGAAAGATTAAATATTTTTTATATACCTATATGGAGTTATTTCCTTTCAGAACGACAGGTCATTCTCTAAAAGAAACAACCTGGATGACACCAAGTTTCAATGAAATGTGCTTCAAGGCATAAAATAATGAGTCAGGTCATTCTTTACCCTGATTTAAATGCAAACTACAGGGTACTTAAACATTAAATTCATGTGTTGTTGCAAATTGGGTTTTACTGTACAATTTTCTATCTTGAACATTTTTTTAAATTTAGGCAGAAACAATCTTTTCCTCCATTTATTAGGCTGAAATAAATACTATTTACTCTATTAAATGACAAAATATTCTGATTTTCTATAGGGGAACAGCCACGTTTAAAAGAGAGGGGTAAAATATCCTGATTCTCAATTTTTGAAGAAAAAAAATTGTATTGCCAGGCATAAGAGAAAAAACAATTATTCTGAAAAGTTCGTTAAAAATTGTTGACAAATAATCTGCTTTTCCATAACATGTATGTTGTGAAACAAGAGAAAAAAAAATATAGCACCCCATTATATAGCTTATATGCTAAATTACTTACAAAGTGACTTGTATTTTTCATACATCTTAGCAATTCATTTGCTTCTTACTTCATGCAACTACTGTAACATTTATTTTGTAACTGGACAATGATTTATAACCGTTAACGTTTATATCTAGATTAATTAGTGAGTTTTATTTCACATTAAAAATGTGCTTCAAGGCATAAAATAATATGGTCGGTCTTTCATTTGATCAATCCTGACAAGAAAAACCTTAAAATATGCATTATCTATAACGTATTTTTAGGTACCAAATAATGACCCATATCATACCTAAATCACTGAATAAATTTACGATGCTTTAAGAGATTATCAGATGAACTTTTATGATTCAAAAGTTCTCCCAGAAACAGGAATGAAGGACCAACCTGATGTAACTGTAATTGGATTGTCTCTCTGTGCAGATGTGTATAAATTCTGCTGAGTTGACATATTTTTCTGAGCGTACAGATTTCTAATCTCCTGGTGATGTTGTTGTATCTGATAATTCTCATCATACTGGCTGTAAGCCTCTGTGTTGAAGTTACCATGGTAATAATTTGAGTTGTCATCAAAATCTGGAATGAAAACAGATATATTTTGGGAAAAAGAAAAAAAACATTTTTAAATTATTTTTTTATAGTGATCAAAATTATCAGATTAGAACCAAATTTGCAATCATATATATATATATATAACCCTTCATCTCAGATATACAAGATTACCACAACATAAATCTGACTGCTGATCTGATCATATCTTACTAATCCATTAATACTTTTGTATACATACCTTTATATACTGACAAACCATTTTTAGGTGAGCGAATAAAGCAAACTAAAGAATTATCTATTGTAATAATACATTTTTAAGAGATTTCTGGGAGGGGCATTATTTTAATCGAACAGTTTCAGTTTATAAAAGAAACAAATCCAATGAGGCTAAAATGTCCTTGTTTTTCCCCAGTTGGGCCATTTCAGAGGGTGTTGCCCTATACCATTTTCCTTGTTATCTTGGAGCGTCTAGCAATAATAATGACCACTTGACAATCCATATAATATGAAGAATCATATTGTTTTTATCCTTTTAATTTGTTTAACACCATACAGTGAATGGAGTTTCCCAAATTCATTCACATGCTTAAGTGCCCTTTTCCGATTCCGTTTACACCCTTATGTTAGGTTTTTTTGGGGTGCTTCAAACCAATCTTTTGAGTTAAGCCATTTGCAACTGATTTCACAATTTGTTTTTATGTTGTTACACTACTGTCCCAGGTTTTGGAAGGGTTAAGTGCTCACAATAATGTTTAAACCTTATGCATTCTTTACATGTATGTGGCTGTCCCAAGTCAGGAGCCTGTAATTCAGTGGTTGTTTTTGGTTCATTTGTCATATTTGTTTTTCATAAATTGCATTATTAGGCTGTTAATTTTCTTGTTTGAATTGTTTCAAATTTTTCATGTCAGAGACTTTTATAACTGACTATAGGGTATGGGTTTTTTTCATTGTTGAAGGCTGTATGGTGACCAATAATTGCTTAAATCTACATCATTTGAGCTCTGGTGGGTAATTGTCTCATTTGCAATCATACCACATCTCCGTATTTTTACATAAGAACGGGTTACTTTGTGGTAATTTTAAGTTCAATTATCTCCCCTGGAAAAATCATAGATTATTTAATTTGTATTACAATAAGTCTGTAGTTTTTTTCATTTCTAAATGTAATTTTCAATCCATTGTATTTCAGGAAAATAATAATAAAATCTCAGTTTTGTCTTAATATTTGGAAATTTAAAAAAGATTTGACACAAATATGCCCCCATAAGATTTGCCTTTAAAGTTACCTTCTCCAACAGTTCCCAAATTTGGAACATTACCAGACAACTTCCTGACACCAGTGTTTCCTGATTGGTATCCAGATGATGAAGACTGACCACTTTCTGATCCAGTCTCTAATGAACTATTAGATCCTGTTTGAGCATTCCTCTCCGATATGTTTAGGTTTTGTATACCTGTTGAAAGATGACCAAATGTTTGACTAGGCAATCTAGATGGACGTTGAGTTTGTGGAAAGTTAGGGAGATCATGGGTTGTCGGTGGCGTATGTACACTTGGAGGTCTGTATGATATTAAACTTGTTGCTGCTTGTTGTGGAGCGTAAAACGCTGGAGTTTTTACACTTCGTCTAACAGTTTGTCGTACAGGTGTGTGATAATCTGAAAAGTTAAAGAAATATGTAATAAAATTAACATATATATTATTTTTACTTGAAATTATAAATTGCATGTGCATTTTAGACATGTTATAAATATCAACATAAAGAAAAAATAAAAAAAAAATAACACATATAACATGAAAAAGCATGAGATATATATAGGTAAAGGCATGTACGATGAATCCATCATGAAGTTTCAATTTCCTAATGTTGTGGAATGTCTTGCATTGTCACCACTTTTCTTATTTAGGCATATACATGACTTCCCAAAATTGCAAGGTTAACATGCTTTTAACATCATGCTTCAAGATAATGATTATAAGGAGGATGCATGTAAGGTATGGTTAATGTTCATCCTTATCCGTCAATATTACAATGCAAATGTGAAAAAAGTTGATAATCATTATAAATCCACAAGTTGAAAACAATACTCAATTTCCAAAAAAATCAAATTAAGGCATAATATGCAAAAAATTTTCTCGTTTGAATTGTTTTACATTGTCACTTCAGGGCCTTTTATAGCTGACTGTGCGGTATGGGCTTTGTTCATTGTTGAAGGCCGTACAGTGACCTATAGCTGTTAATTTCTGTGTCATTTGGTCTCTTGTGGAGAGAAGTCTCATTGGCAATCATACCACATCTTCTTTATTATATATAATCTGCATACATTACATGTACCATATATATCTTTTTTTTTTATTTATGAGGATTCTACATGTATACAGTTAAGACTGAGTTTCAAATTGTATGTTCATTTTTGTGATTTTAAATAATGTTGTAGACCTATATTCTATAGAAGATACAATGTATTAGAAAAGTCATAAATGAAAAAAAAGTTATCATGCAAGTTTCTGATAAAAAATTTTATTAAACAGTTTTGCAAGCTTAAGGTTGTGTGTGCATGGTTTCACCGATGCTGCAAAATCCAATTTTCACTTTCATCTGGCAACAAAATGTGAAACTGTATCTATTCCACTTAAGGATGTTCGCTACTCTGTTTCAAAATAACAATCTTTTTAAAAGACTGCTATAAATTGATAGTATAAAATTAAAGAAACTAAAACAGCAGAAAATAAAATGCTTCGCTGGGCGCAGCTTGATACGACCGCAGAGGTCGAAACCCTGAACAGTTGGGGCAAGTATGGACACAACATTCAAGCTTGATACAGCTCTGAATTTGGATTGTGATTAAATATTTGACACAGCATAGGTTTCTGACACAGAAAGAATGTGGTCTAAGAACTTCAATTTTTTTAATTTACCTATTATGGTCCAATGTCCAAAATCCAAATACATGGTTAGATTCAGCATATCAAAGAACCCCATATATTCAATTTTTGTTGAAATCAAACAAAGTTTAATTTTGGACCCCAACTTGGACAAACTTGAAAACTGGTCCCATAATCAAAAATCTAAACACATGTTTAGATTCAGCATATCAAAGTACCCGAAGAATTCAATTTTTGTTAAAATCAAACTAAGTTTAATTTTGGACCCTTTGGACCTTAATGTAGACAAATTTAAAAAACGGGACCCTAAATTAAAAATCTAAAAACACAGTTAGATTTGGCATATCAAAGAACCCCAATAATTCAATTTTTGATGAAATCAAACAAAGTTTAATTTTGGACCCTTTTGACCTCAATATGAACCAATTTGATAGCGGGCCCACAAATAAAAAATCTAAATACATGGTAAGATTCAGCATATCAAAGAACCCCATATATTCAATTTTTGTTGAAATCAAACAAAGTTTAATTTTGGACCCCAATTTGGACCATCTTGAAAACTGGGCCAAAAATCTAAAATCTAAATACATGTTTAGATTCAGCATATCAAAGAACCCCATATATTCAATTTTTGTTGAAATCAAACAAAGTTTAATTTTGGACCCCAACTTGGACCAACTTGAAAACTGGTCCCATAATCAAAAATCTAAACACATGTTTAGATTCAGCATATCAAAGAACCCCAAAAATTCAATTTTTGTTAAAATCAAACTAAGTTTAATTTTGGACCCTTTGGACCTTAATGTAGACCAATTTAAAAAACAGGACCCAAAATTAAAAATCTAAATACACGGTTAGATTTGGCATATCAAAGAACCCCAATAATTCAATTTTTGATGAAATCAAACAAAGTTTAATTTTGGACCCTTTTGACCTCAATATGAACCAATTTGATAGCGGGCCCACAAATAAAAAATCTAAATACATGGTAAGATTCAGCATATCAAAGAACCCCATATATTCAATTTTTGTTGAAATCAAACAAAGTTTAATTTTGGACCCCAATTTGGACCAACTTGAAAACTGGGCCAAAAATCTAAAATCTAAATACATGTTTAGATTCAGCATATCAAAGAACCCCATATATTCAATTTTTGTTGAAATCAAACAAAGTTTAATTTTGGACCCCAACTTGGACCAACTTGAAAACTGGGCCCATAATCAAAAATCTAAACACATGTTTAGATTCAGCATATCAAAGAACCCTAAGAATTCAATTTTTGTTAAAATCAAACTAAGTTTAATTTTGGACCCTTTGGACCTTAATGTAGACAAATTTAAAAAACGGGACCCAAAATTAAAAATCTAAATACACGGTTAGATTCGGCATATCAAAGAACCCCAATAATTCAATTTTTGATGAAATCAAACAAAGTTTAATTTTGGACCCTTTGGACCTCAATGTGGACCAATTTAAAAACGGGGCCCAAAATCCAAAAACTTAATACACGGTTAGATTCAGCATATTAAAGAACCCCAAGAATTCAAGAATAAAACCCCATTGAAATTGATCAAGAAATAAGCAATTTATACGAAGTATCTTCTTTTGCACAATACTGTGCAATTGAATATTTCTTGCTATTGCGCAATACTGTACAATTGACAATTTCTTGCTATTGCGCAATATTGTGCTATTGGATATTTCTTGCTATTGCGCAATACTGTTAAATTGAAGATTTCTTGCTATTGCGCAATACTGTGCAATTGAAGATTTCTTGCTATTGTGCAATACTGTGCAATTGAAAATTTCTTGCTATTGCACAATACTTATTATATAATAATTTACACATCCTGTTTGGTGTGTATCTCCTACCATATCATTATTATTTGCTTTTAAATATAAATCAGAAATAACCAACTTAAAATGGAAAATTTTAAAAGAAAAAAAAAAGGAAAAAAAGAAAAAAAAAAAAAAAAAAAATCCCCCCCCAATTTTTTGAACCCCCTTATGATTCATCACCCCCAAACTCAATCCCAGCCTTCCCTTTGTGGTATGGTACCTTGCAGTACAATTTCAGAGAGATCCATACACTTGAACACAAGTTATTGTCTGGAAACTAGAAAAATGCTTATTTTTGGCCCCTTTTTGGCCCCCAATTCCTAAACGTTTCGGGCAATTACCCCCAAACTCAATTCCAGCTTTCCCTTTGTGATATGGAACCTTGTAGTACAATTTCAGAAATATCCAAACACTTACACACAAGTTATTGTCATGAAACTAGAAAAATGCTTGTTTTTTGCCCCTTTTTTGGCCCCTAATTCCTAAAATTTTGAGGCAATTACCCCCAAAATCAATTACAGCCTTCCCTTTGTGATATGGAACCTTGTGGTACAATGTCAGAGAGATCCATACACTTACACACAAGTTATTGTCTGAAAGTTACAAAAATGCTTATTTTTGGCCCCTTTTTGGCCCCTAATTCCTTAACTGTTGGTACCATAACCCCCAAAATCAATCCCAACCTTCCTTTTGTGGTATTGAACCTTATGGTGAAATTTCATGGAGATCCATTCACTTAAACTAAAGTTAGAGTGCGAAAACCAATGTGTCTTCGGACGACGCCGGACGACGACGACGACGACGACGACGACAACGACGACGACGACGACGCCAACGTCATACCAATATACGACCAAAAAATTTTTAATTTTTGCGGTCGTATAAAAATGAAGGGTCCGTGTGCTTGTTTTCGAGATATATGCCATTGAAAATTTGGCGGGAAATAATTCTCTCTAGATTTTTCATACATTTAATATCAGCACCTTTTTTATTTCAAAAACTATAAAAAAATAACAAGGATTTTACAAGATTTTGAAAAATGGCTTTTCAAACTATATGAAATAAATTATGAAAAGAAAAGTAAAGGTTAGTGGGCAAAATTTTTATTGGCATTACATGGATAAAACCAGAGGATTCCGAATATCTGGCAAAAATTCAAAAACAAGAGGAGCAAACATTCTTAAGTTACAATGACAGATTTATAATATGGGAGTTTTCTTGAACATAGATTGAAGATGCTTTCATTTATATTCAAAGTAATTTTTTTTGTACATGTAAGAAGTAATGTGCTTCAAAGTTTTGAAGGAGTCAATTTGTAAAGTTTTGACTACTAATAACCAGTCACACAATGCAAGTTGAGGATAAACATGCATGTACTATGCATGAATATGCAGAAATGATCAAACTTTTTTTTTTAATGAAAAATTTTGTGTTGATGGCAGATCTTTGATTATTTCTGTTTATTCATTCACAAATTTACAAGACTTAAAATGATTCAGAGTTTATTATATTGTATAGTCACATGTATATTGTTGCAGAAGACTGTATGTTGCCCTTTATGGTTAATTTGTATAGACACATGTCTATTGTTGTAGAAGAGTGTATGTTGCCCTTTATGGTTAATTTGTATAGACACATGTCTATTGTTGTAGAAGACTGTATGTTGCCCTTTATGGTTAATTTTGACATTAGGTTTCTGTCATATCCCACATCTACATTAATATTGTGCTCTAATGTAATTTTGAATTTACCAATGAAGTTTATGCAACAAGTAACAGTGTCCCAGGTAGAAGGAAATAGAGGGGAGCTGCGCCTGGCCCTAAAATTTTACACCCCTGTGCCGTATTAGTATGCCCTGAGCCTTTTTGTGACCCCCTTCTGTCTTTTTCAAGAAAAGGACGAGTTTAAAACTAATCTATTTTCCATAATCATCAACCATTCACCAGAACTTTTCAAGCTAATTAAAGATACCTGATTTAATTATGACATGTACCTGTTAATTACTTGTAACAGCTTGGGTGACAAACATATAATGTTCATTAACTAAACCTCAATAATTTCAGCCTGAGGGAATACACTTGCACTTATTTTCAAAATTATATTTAATGCACTTTCATGTATTGCAAATCATTTAAGATACCTTGACATATAAAATACTTATTTTACCAAAAGACATACAGCAATCAAATTTTAAGAATTAATGTCCTGTAACTATACAGATATTCTAAAAACTTTGTTTGTACATGTTTATCAAATGTGTAAATAAATGTGTTTGTTCTCCTGGCTAACGATGTTATTTGTTTAATTGTGCTGCTCTCGTCAATGTATTCACATAATGTTTATTGTACATGCAATTATTATTCTCTATACAGGTGTATACATTGGCTGTATGAGAATAAACATATACATATTTAAATGCCTTTAAACGAATTTCATAGAATTTGCTTTCAAAGTATTGTCCATCTATTATTTCATGTATTTAGAAACATATGATCATGGATCCTAATACTAATATGTAGGAGTTTGCAGTATCATAGTTTATAATACAAATAATATGTGCAGATGTCCATTTTGATGGGCACACATACAAAATTGCCACTTTATTCATATACCAGCCCTCCATTTTTAAATCCTAGCTAGAACACTGTGTAACTTACTTCTGAGCATAGGTGGTGTGTCTCTTTTGACATATTTCCCTGCAATACCATCATTGATACCTGATGATGATTCTTTTTTCTTTGACAGCATACTATTTCATTATTTTGTATTTACTACTAAAATACACATGCTTTTTAAATTAGTCATATCAATATCACGGGTCCTTCATTGTTCCTGGTGAGAAACTGTACACTCTTTTATTTTCTCAATCAATCTTAAACACCATTTAACAGTATTTACTTAAAAGGTAGAAAATGTCAACTTTTATTAGTACATTTCACTTTCAGCACAATGGAAACGCCCCATTAAACTTTAAAAGGATATGTTTGGCACAAGTAACTGTTCCAATTCATTTATAAATACAATTTGTATTACTTTAAAAGTTTTTGACAGTTTTAAAGTAGTTGAAATGTGGAAGATTTCGTGAATTCTAATTCCTAGTTTGTTGACAAATCTGCAAGTGCCCGAGTAGTGTGTAAAATGTCATTAAAATTGGGCCGGAAGTGACGTTTAATAAATTTTACGCAAATATGTGTATTTACCTTGACAACTTCACTGTCAATGTAGTGTGGTAGTTTGGCAACAAGTAAAGACGTAACAACACCATTTTTTGTCTTAATTGCCGTCATTTTGCAAAAGGAGGATAAGCCTCCCATTATTCCAAGATGACTACAACACCAGCAAACACGGAACTAAACATGAACCCGAAGGACCAACAATTTATTAGTGCAAAATCATATCTTCTCACTTCAAGCACAGACACAGGAACAAATTTGTAAGTTTATCTGTGTATATATTTGTCTCATTTTAAGTGCGAGATTAATTTAAAGCCATATTTTCAAACTTGAAGCATTCTCTTTAATTCAGCTATTCATAAATTATATCTTTTAATTTCTTGTGAAAAATATTGAGATCATTTCTTGTGGGATTTCAACTTCTTACCAATAGAATCAGAATTGTCACAGGTTTATTTGTTTATATATATTTGTTTTGAAGTGTACTCATTTTCTGATGATATAAACACCAAGTATATTTTTTGAACTGAAATTTGCGATATATTTCAACCATATTAATTATATTGTTTACATCAGGAGAAACAAAAGATTTTTTTTTCCAATGTGTTATAATTTATATGATATACATGTATATACATGTAGCTACAAATTGTAGATGATGAACCTTTTGCATTACACCGTTTGTGGAATGTTTTTACATTATACATTATATATATTACCTTGTATCATATTTTTTTGTAATTTCATGATCAATTAGTTATGAAAATGATGTTTTTACCCATTAAGAACACAAAGAATTTATAAACTTACTTTTTTGAATTTATACATATACAAAGTCAACCTTGTATACATTTATATACTTTTCAAATACCACATTCATAAAAATGTTTTTAGCAGTATACTTTGGTTTAACAGCTGTCTATAATAAATATTATTATTTTCAGATATGATCATTTGAGTTGTGTCTTGGCAAAAGTACTTGATGAGAGACCAGAAAATGCATCTGACATTATTGAAGACATCAGTAGGGATGTCAAACGGTCAAAGTTTAATTCAAAAGTTGACACAGTACAAGACAAAGTAGACAAGTCAACAGAAGTTGCCCTTGCTGAAATTCATCATAAACTGTTTTCGGTAGGTATCAAACCAAACTTGACATTCATTTGTTCAATTTACAGTACTTATAATATTTGAAAACACAGGATATATTTCATTTAAATTTTATTTTCCTTTTTTATTGATTAGTTTTTAATTTTTTTGATAGGACAGGATAGAAAAATATTTGTTCAACCACATTTCATACAATGTATATATATATATTTATAATCAAACTATCTTTTTGTAATTTGCATTCAAATAATAAGAATAATTTTTATTTGAAAGACCCAATCAAAAAGAAATTAAAGTTGAGACTAATTTTGTGTTTCTATTATGTAGAAAGGAGAAGGAGAAGATGCAGACCAGGATCAAGATGAGGAGGTAGAAACACCACTACCAAATTTGATGGATCATTTTTTCTATTTTGAACAAGCTGGCATTGGATTAGGTCGTGAAGAACTTGTGCGTATTTGGCTAGCATTAAAAGACCTTGTAGATCGTTATCCATTACAACATGTGCATTTCTGGGGTAAAATATTTGGAACAGAACAGAACTATTATGTAGCAGAGGTAGAATATAGAGAAGGAAATGATGAGGGAGATGAAGAGGAAGAAGAGGTAAGTTAATTATATACTCCATCCCAGCAGTGCATGGTAGGAAACTGGTATATCAGTTTTTGTAATTTGAAAAAGCATTACAAAAACAAATAAGGGTTCTTTCTTCAGATGGTCTGTCAATTTTAATACACTTACTGGCCTGTCACAAATACTGACGATTTCAATACTGTTAAAAACATTAAGTTTGAATAACTTGAAAACCAGAAGTAACTACAAGTGTATTGTTATATATTGAGAAATATCTGATTTGGACCATCACTTTCTAACAAGGTTAACTAATCAATAATTGTTAATAGACATTTATCATAAAAATGAAAAAAAAGTTATCAGTATGTTCTGTAACCTTTGTAGGAAGAAGCTCATGCAGAGGAAGAAACAGAAAAAGAAGGAGACGAAGATGGTGAAGAAGGTATGTTGTGTATTAATTATTTACATCTTTGCTATGTTAAAGCTTACAAAGAACCTTTTTTATAAATGTATTAAATTTTAAATTACAAGATAAAAGCTTGGTATTTAACTATTTTATTTGAAGAGAGAAAACATGTCATTCATAGTAAGTACATGTACCCATAGTAAATTCATCTGTCTGGCAATAAATTAATTTGGAAATAAAAATTGTATTATTGAATGACTATACACAACAAACATTGGTTTGAGAAGATTTATGTTTCAAAGTTTGATGAAATCCAGATGAGAAAAAAAAACATATGCTTACACTACATGTACAAAAATGTAATTTGGAAATGCATTTGTTATATTTTGCATTGGTACACTAGTATATTGAATTATTTTTTCCATTTTTTTCATAGAGGAACAGCAGGAAGATGATACCCCAAAACCAGACTGGAAACCTCCAGCAGAAGTACCAAAAGAAGAAAACAGATCTGGTGCAAATAAAAAGACATATTTTGTGTGCAATGACCGTAAGTACATGTAATAAATATTCTGTTCTTTTATCTTCCCTGATCATGACCTAATACACATTTTAAAATAACATTAGCTCTACATCAAGTATTTAAAGTTTGTAAAGAGTTTTTTTTTAATTTTGAGACTAAAAGAATTATTCATAATGGCATAATAAAACAGAACAATTTGATAAGTTACAAGTTTGAAAAGTTTATTGTTAAAATTATTGGTTAGATTTTCCAGAATATTGATACAAAACAATAATGAATATACATTGAAAATGCATCACAAATCTATTTATTTTAATTTAGCTGGTAAGCCATGGATTAAACTCCCACCAGTAACACCTGCACAAATTCACATTGCCAGAAATATTAAAAAGTACTTCACAGGACGACTAGATGCTCCGGTAAGTTGTTATTTAAGTAGAATACTCAATAGTTCTTGCTTATTTTTATTGCACATAAATGGATTATACGACACATGCATGAATATTAAGAAATAGGCAAAAATATGTTTTATCAGTGTTACATTTATATCTGAGCTTTTTTTTAAATTTGTTTTTAAATGTGTTATTAGGGAAACAAATTGGTTAGTAAAACTTTAGTAAGAAAAAATCTTGTTTTTATCCCGATATTGTCTAATAAAATTGATTCTTAATTTTAGAGAATAACATGAGCTGCTTGTTTGTACTAATCTGTTTGTTCTTGCCTGTAGATTGTGAGTTATCCCCCATTCCCAGGAAATGAATGTAACTACCTGAGAGCTATGATTGCACGTATCAGTGCTGGAACACACATTTCACCTCTGTCATTCTACATTTTTGATGAAGAGGAGGAGGAAGAAGAAGAAGGAGGCAGTAAGTGACCATTTTGTATTAAATTGTTTAATTACACCACAGGGTGGAAACACTAGTACTGTAGTTATGATTTTTTGCTAACATTTAACCTGGAATCTGTTTAAGTTTTTGCTGAAAGTATACCATTGGCTTCTACAAACTTATAGACAGAGATATAAAGTTTAAATACTACTTTTCAATTAAAAAACCCATAGTATTTACGTATAGATAAGAAGATGTGGTATGAGTGCCAATTAATTAATATTTAAGTAGAATACTCAATAGTTCATGCCTATTTTTATTGCACATGTACATATGATATTATGCCATCAAATACTTTACTGAATCTTGATAAACTGTATAACAACAAAGAAATAACACAGAATACTTCTATACACAAAATATTACAGTTGTCTGGCATCCATCAAGTTATTCACTGCAACTATATATTTATACAGCAGGAATTCAATAGAAATTTACTATTTTCCACAGCAATACATGGCACAGTAAACTGAATTCCCTCCTTGTTTTCTCATCTGCAGTAAACAATTCATTGTTTGCAAGTTATCAGTAATGTCTGGTACACAATCAATTAAAGACTTAATTTTTAGTATATTTTTTCTATTCTGTTTTACAGGCAGGGAGAATTTCATCATTAACCCTGAATATGAAGCCCATCCAATGAGAGATCTGGTAGATCAGTCATTATCACACTGGGTCCATCATGTACAGCACATCTTACCACAGGTAAACAATTTATACAATGAAAGATATGATTAAAGTAAACATAAGGGTAGATGATCAAAAGACACATTAACGTAAGATTACAGAAGATGGCAACCAATTAATGATACAAAACTAATGTTGTAGTTTATATGGCTAAAATTAACCATAAATTTATTGGATTACATCTTTTTTTATTAAAATGTTATTCTGTCTTTTGTGGCCTGAAATATGGGAACTTTATTAATGATTGCTGTTACTTAAAAGTTTTTTTGTCAATTAGAAAATTTGCTGATAATAGATCTTATGCAGTCTCTAAAAAAATAATTTGCAACTTGTTTTGAGGTGGTAAATTCATAGCCTGACATATGATATGACAACTTGTTCGTCAATAAAAACTGTATGCTGACCTTTAGATGTAGTATTTTTTTAAATGTTGTTGGGTTAAGAACTTCTTGACCTTTACCCCAGACCTTCATTATTATGTTTTTGAACAAAATGTATAATTGATTGTTGTTTGACTTTCAGGGAAGATGTGTCTGGTTCCCACCTGCTAAACCAGATCAGGATGAGTTTGAGGATGAGGAAGAAGAAGAAGAAAGAGAGGAGCCAGATGAACCAGAACCAGAAAGAGGTCCAGAACTGCTCACTCCTCTGTCTGAGGATGCTGAAGTTGGAGATATGCCACCATGGACACCAAAACTTTCTTACAATCTCATTCCACAGTATGCATGTGCTGTAATGCGATCAAATCTATGGCCAGGAGCATATGCATTTGCTGCAGATAAGTAAGTCAATTGTAACTCTATATAGCTCTGAATTTATTTTCAGAAAATTATTTGAAACATTGTTATATATATTTAGATTCCAACTTATATTGAAGTAGTACTAAATATTATAAGGTTTTAAATCTTGTGAACTTTCATTTAAAATTTGGCAATTTATATAATCTATAATTGATTTTATAGAATGTATTGCTGATGACCTTAACTTAAGAAAAAGACTGTAATGAAAAAATACATTTATTCATCACATTTAAGTAATATAGTTATATTTAACAATGTAATATGATAAAACAAAATATCTATAAATAATTTGTACAGTTTTATAACTCTTTCAATCTGTTTCTGTCAACAGGAAATTTGAAAATGTTTACATTGGCACTGGACACAAATACTCTAGAGATAATTACAGTCCACCAGAAACCACACCGATCAGAGAAGAATTCCCAAGCGGTGCTGAAATCACTGAAATTGAAGATCCATCAGTTGAAGAAGAAAGACAGATTCGTAAAGCACAACAAGAGGCTGTTGAACCCGAAGAAATGGAAGAGGCAGAAGAAGAAGAGGAAGAAGATGATTAAATAACAAATAAATTATAAACTTACAAACTGCCAAGAAACAACAGATAAATAACTGAATAGTGTTGTGATCAGGAAGTGTCAGCTATAAACTTTTAAATCATGTCATTCCATAGTCGATGCCTACTTTTACAGCATACCAAATGTTAAAAGGAAGATTTTACATTTGTACATAAACTTATTTATATTATATAAATGCATTTTTTGCTCCTGTTATGAAGTAAAAGTCTGGACTGTACATAAGTTTCTATTTAGTGGCCCATGGACTGTACATAAGTTTCTATTTAGTGGCCCATAGATTTGTTTAAAGAATCTATAAGCAGATAGAATCTGCAGGAATAGTAAATGACATATGGCTATATAAAAATAAGGAGATTTAGTATGATTGCCAATGAGACAACTATCCACCAGAGTTTAAATAAGTGGATAATCAATTAGGTCACTGTACAGCCTTCAACAATGAGAAAAACCTTACCATATAGCTTGCTATAAAAGGCCCAGACATGAAAAAATGTGAAGACTATGAGAAATTGGGAATACATGTAGTGTTATAAAGCTTCTCATAGTTCTTCTTTTGCTTCAGAACACATGGCATGTAAGTTAAATGATAAAAGGACTTGCTTTTTTGAAAAAAATATCAGTCTGCTTTTTGTCGAGCCTTCGACTTTTGTCGAAAAAGTGAAACATAGTGATCCTACATTCCGTCGGCGTCGGCAGCGGCGGCGGCGTCCACAAATATTCACTCTGTGGTTAAAGTTTTTGAAATTTTAATAACTTTCTTAAACTATCCTGGATTTCTACAAAACTGGGAAAGAAGCTTGTTTATGATCATAAGATAATATTCAAAAGTAAATTTTGTAAAAAAAAAATTCCATTTTTTCCGTATTTTACTTATAAATGGACTTAGTTTTTCTGCCAGTTAACATTACATTCACTCTGTGGTTAAAGTTTTTAACTTTTAACAACTTTCTTAAACTATCCTGGATTTCTACCAAACTTGGACAGAAGCTTGTTTATGATCATAAGATAGTATCCAGAAGTAAATTTTGTAAAAAAAAAATTCCATTTTTTCCGTATTTTACTTATAAATGGACTTAGTTTTTCTTCCAGTTAACATTACATACAGTCTGCAGTTTAAGTTTTTAAAACATTTATTAGATTCATTAACTATCCTGGATTTTTACCAAACTTGGACAGAAGCTACTTACAATCAAAAGATAGTATAGAGAGGAATATTTTTATTAATTTTTTTCCTCATTTTTGTTGAGCCTGAGATTAACAGCAAAAGTAGGCGAGACACTGGGTTCCGGGGAACCCTTACGAATTTTTATTTATAAAGAATTTTTGCACAGAAGTTTGTAAGTACTTCCCCCTTCTATTGTAGAAACTATATTCAGGGATACAAGTCAATGTCATTGAACAAATTATTATCTTCTTTTAACTGATAAACCTGGGACATATTTGATGGTAATAGGATTGGTTTACAATCATTTTGGGATAAAAAGTTTTGGTTATCTCCCTTGCATATAGAATTCTTATTTTATTGGACAGTATTTTTAAAAATATTTTGTTTATTTATATTCAATTAGTAAACTTGCAATTGTACATGTATATTGAGCATTAACACCAAAAATATTCACCATTTCTCATTCTCTTCATTTTAAATGATGCTCTCCCTTAAACACCCTTAGTCATAGAAATTAGACTATATATATTGTACATGCGTAATGATCTTCTAACTCATGAGACATAGAATTGTATTACAATTTTGTAAAGAAGACAACATGAATGTAATCTGTTGCATTCATTGGATTTTGAATGGTAAACAGTAAGTAGATAGGTACCTATATGAAGATAAAGCACCTATATGGAGTTACCTAAAAAAATATGAGATAATTATAAACACATAAAAAAGGACAAAATGCCCATAGTCTTTGGTGGATAGTTGTCTCATTGTCAATCATCAACCTAATCTATTTGACAGTGTATCAAAAATGCTTCTTAAACATATTAAAGTTGTAGTCACGTGAATTGGAATAAGTATTGACAAAGAAACTGCTTAAATAGCAATTAAATTCATGCACTTATGAAATGAACATGCCCTGAGAATGCTTATCTCCCTTTATTGTAATACTTAGCATTTTGGTATCTATTATACAATGAACTACATATGGAATTTCTACAAAAGGTTTATCTTTCTTATAAAATTATACAGAATACAACAACATGAATCATCTATCACAAATAAAACACTTTAAGGTATTGAACATAACACTTTTGTCTGAGGCACTTTTCTGGATTTATGTTCATCAGGAACGCTCAAACTTTAACAGTTGAAAGCTAGGGACGTATACATATGTAGAAGTGTTTGGAAAGATAATAAACCAAACCAAATTTTTTTTTCCAAAGCTATTAATGATAATGACATCTTTCAAGAAATTTAATACTAGTAGTTGTTACCAGTAGTTTGAAAAAAAAAAAAGAATGAAGAATAAAAATATTAAGTGTTTGTAGTTTAATCCCAAATTGGCACACAATATATATTCTTAGAAATAAACCATTTTAATGTTGTGACGAGGGAAGCTTCATATCTTCTGAACACAAATTTAAAATTGGTGGTGCACAATTGCATTTTTAGTTCTGACTAGTATCTAAAATGTCAATATTCACTGTTTGGGAGGAGTTGTGGCTCCTCCATATATTTCCATAAAAAATCTTGCATCATTCTGATAAAAAAAAGTTGGTGCATAATGATACAAAGCATTGCTTATTGATGTATTATGTAAACTATTCAAAAACCTCACTAGTTTAGGATGAGTTAGTGTTTTGGGATGCTTAGCCCAAGGTATAAAAAAACGACAAGTTCTATGTTTTGCTCTGTCAGTTAAAACGAAACAATCTGATCGATTGGTTGATTGTTGTTTCCTCAATGTTTAGTGGTCAAACACGATGATATTAGGTGCACAGTTACATTTGATATTGAAGATGCTTTTTAATTTGAAGGTTAAAATCATTTCGATGAAATTAGGAGCTACAGATAAACAAATTAATCATAATCAACATCTGAATGGATAAAGCATTTACGTTTTTCTCCATTTTAAAGATTAACAGTTATATATACGGAGTAGTTAATAATGGATACCACACCGAATTTGCTTAGCTTTATTTGGAAAACCCTTTCAGAATTTTGGGTCCGCAATGCTCTTCAACTTCGTATATCTCATATATCCACGTGAACTTGAAATTCTAAAACAAGATGGTCTGCTTCTTTTCCAAATCATTTACTTGAACTTAATGCTTGAAAGACAAATATATATTACTTTTCATGAAAAACTCGATGACTTCATTTATTCTATTTTCAACTTTCCAGTCTAGAGTAGTAATACTCCATTTGCCCAAGCCAATGGCATTTATATCTCAGTTGATAAGGTATGCTTGAGCTTGTTCTCAATATGGTGATATTACCATTAAACAGAGATGAACTTTGAATTCAAATGCCACTCTATCAAGGTATGACGGAGAACTACTAACAGTATGACTTCTTTTGGTTCTTTGGTCGCCATGATGAACTTTATGATCATTACAGTGTCTCAGTTTCTCAACTCACTAGTGATATTTTAACTTTTGTCATGAGTCCCATTTATCCATTAATGTCCGTTTAGTAAGTTTATTAATATTGGAAATGTTTTAGGCTTTGGGACCAACTACTGCGTGTAATCGTGTTGCTGGGGATGAACGCATTGCATGGAATGTTTTGAAATATCGTGTCGATACACCTGCATGGCCTCATTCCAAACCTTCAAATTGCTCCTATACATCATCCCTATACAAGTCATGTTATTTCCGAGACATTGGCATCGTAAACAATGAACAACTTAGAACGAGTTGTTAGCCAAACGGCCGAAATATTGAATTCCATAGCCAATCAACTAGGAGAAGAACGTCAGGTTAACTACTTATGAATTCAATACAGGACTATGTTAGAAAATTGGTAAAGCGCGATGGAAAAAATCAGATGACATAAAATGGACACTTAATGTGAATGGACCAACGCAGTTCTGTCATGTGTAAAGGCGCATAAGAAAAATACGACGTACCATGAGAATACGGGTTTCTAACTCATTCAAAAAGCCCGATGCTGTGGATGCTTTATACTCTTTTCACGACAAATATTTGCTGTTCCAGCAGACAAAGCGCCAAAAATATTGTTTTTAATGTATTAGCAAAGCTTAATATTGGGAAAAGTCTATACTGAAAAACCGTGAATTCACAGCAAATCTTGGAATCCCACAGATAATCCTACATCATTTTCGACTTTTGGGATTTTAGAAAAACACACATTTGTCCTTCTCTCTTATGGTTATACTATTAAAATCGCTCGATTTGTATACTGATACCTGGAAATAAAAAAAAACCAACACTTTATATATTTCATGTGCTTTAGACGACAAAAATCCTTTAAAAGAACGACATTTAGCCGAGTCGTCTTGAAGTTCGACTAAACATCTTTTTAAAAAGTTTTTACTATCATTCTCACTACAATAAAAGATGTCCTTCAGAACAATTGTGATGAGATACATTCAGCCAGTGGTGTCAATCTGATAATGTGAATTCTTAAAAACTCTTAAACTTTCAATCACTATCTTTATCATTTTGCAGTAACGTTAAAACTTTTGATTTTTCAATCTACATTACTACAATTCACATGCTCAATTGAAAGATCGACTAGATCGTCGTATAAAACAAAAAAAAGGCAACAGTAGTATACCGCTGTTCAATAGTCATAAATCAAAGCCTTTACTGGTTAAATTGGTTTAAATCTGCTGAATTGTTTTAGGTCACGAACAATCTTACTTGTGAAGAACCTCACTGATTCCAGCAACAAATACACCGTCATACCATAAAAATGCTGGACTTTTTGATCGACAACATATGTGTTGAGATTGGCGTATTTGTATTTCAACAGACAGTCGACATTCCAATGGATAGTGTGCTTCCCCACTGACCGACTTGTTTTTCATATAGGGCCTTCTTAAAGACAAAAAGACAAAAAAAATCTTGCAAATATTTTAATTGCATTTTCAGTTATATCGATGGCCCGATCACTCAATTACCCATGTTTTAGTGAATTTTATGTGTGCTTGAATTCATATATTCAAGTGAAATAGATATAGATAGGATACTATCGAAGTTCTGGTGCAGATTCAGGCCATCCAGCGCCTCTCTTACAATGGAAAAAAATT